CTTGTACTCATTAGCTATGCTCTTGGCCGAACTTCTCTTGTAGAACCTCGCTTCTGCTTCTGCACGTCTCGAAAGCATCTCGATCATAAAATCGTTGAAGCTGTACTCTTCCACTTCTTGCATTGACAGAGACGCCCATTCACCAAGGTTCCTGCCTAGTCTCCTCCTTGGTTCATTCTCTTCAACTTCTTCATCCTGAGCAATGTCTTCTGCATCTACTTGGCCATCACCTTCAATTGCTTCGTTCTCAATCTCGGGCTCTTCTATATCTAGATTTCTGTCCAATTGATCCTCTGCCACTTCATCCAAATGATCAGGGGTGTAGCTCCTTGGAGGGATTTCAAGTTCAGCATTGATAGGTATTGGTTCTTGGAAGAAGAGTGAAACGTCTGGCTTGTACTCAGTATGCATGTTCAATTCTGCGCGGATGACTGACCGGCCCCATGGAGTTAGACCAAAGGCAAATTTCATCAAAGCGTAGTTGCCCTGTTTGTCAAAAACTTCATTCATGTTGGCGATTAATGCATCTGCAATGCGCTTTGACGAACTTGATAATTCAGGACGATTTGCAATTCCGGTCAACTGCTCAATCGTCGATTGAAACATTGGATAGATGTAGCAGAAGCAGCCAACGTCACTCTCTGCATAATTCAAGAGTTTCTTGATTGGTAAAAGAATCTCTTCGAAATTTAACAACCATTGTGGAAGTCCATCCTTGAAATCAATTCCCATATCCCTTAAGATCTGAACAGATTCCGGTGGATCATCCATATTGAACAATTCATAAATTTTAGGGTGTTTTTCTTTTATCCACTTCAGAAGATCCCAGAAAAACATCCAGCGATGATCCGGAACATGAATAACCCTCATATTCAATGCCCTTCTCGTGTCCGGCTTCGATAACTCCTTGCTTATCGCTTTGCAATAATTAATTTGCATTGCGAAAGCTGCACAATTGTCTGCCGTATGCTTCACCACTAAGTTGAGGAGATGCGCAACACATCGGATATAAACGGTTTGAAGACCCGGATATAGTGCTCCGCATCTCCTCCAGTGGCACAGCCCTTTAACTTGGGCGGGGCATCCATCGGCAACAATTGCAGAAAGGAAATCCTTTGGGAAGGTAAAACATTCAAAGAAATTATTGTAATCCCTGGCATTCCAACCATCAGCGATCATAGTATCAATGAAGATATGGTTCTTCATTTTTGCTGGATTGCTAGCCATCACAAAAAAGCCATGCCGGCTTCCGTGTGATGCCGCATCAATTGTTATCGAATAGTAGCCCATCTTGTCAAGCTCAACGTGTATTTTTGGAGCTACCAAGTCGGCTAATGTAATGATTCCATCCCTTATCTCGTCTCTTCTATATGGGATCTTGAGTTGAAAATTGATTACTCCCTTGAAGGTGGAGTAGACATGTCGGGCGAAATCTTCTAGTACACCTGAAGCGGCCATATTGATTGACATGTTGGTATCCACAACAAATTTTACAACATAAAGTAATTTTCTATCTTGTTTTATTAAATCTCTTCTCGTATATGGATTATTTTCACATTGTATTTGATATATATGCTGATGATCTTCATCAAATTCTGATGGTTTTCGATGATAAATGCAGCGCATATATGTTTTTGTTAGTAAATTGTAATGTATCGCTAAACAATAACAATAAAGTCTTTTTCGTTCTTTCGATTTTTCGCTTGTATCTGGAAGATAAGCAATATTGAAACATACTCGACATTTATTATTAGTTGAGAATTTAGTATCCTCGAATTTTGGTAAGGGAGGTACTTTTCGAGGGATATTTTTGGGAGGAAGTTTGCAATCAATCCATCCCTCAAATTTGGATTCATATTCATCTTGTGTTTCAGTCATTAATTCTTAAAAATAAAAAGGGTAAAAACTAAATAAAATGGGTAAAATTCAATAGTGTCTGTGCTATCGTTCAATTTGAAGGTGTCTTTTGAAACCGCAAGACACATTGAATTTTTGAATAGTGTATTATGGTTTGACAGACACCAATGAAAAAAATAAAATGATATTTATTTTAAATATATAAGATCCTTATATAAAATATAAATATTTTATCGTTTTATTTTCTTGTTTTAGAAATGTTTTTTATTGAAAAATCAATAAAACTAACTCCAAAATAAAATTTTTGATTTAAAGACACTATGATGACACCAGGCAAATCTTCCAAGACACCTATCGTCGGGAATCTAACAACCCTAAAAAAAAAAAAAAAAAAAAAAGGTAGTGGGGCTTCCAGGCGCGTTGCGCCCTCTAGCCCTGAAGATGTTTAGTATAAATGAAGTTTATATTCGGAGGGCTTCCAGGCGCGTTGCGCCCTCTAGCCCCGAAGATGTTTAGTATAAATGAAGTTTTTATTCGGAAAATTGTTAGTCTTCTGGGTCGAAAACATTATATAATGTGTCGCTTTTCACAAATTATATATGTTTTCATGTTTTGTCACTTTTCTGTCACTTTTCAGGAAAAAACATTTTTATTATTATATATAAATGAATTTTACAAAACCACCGTTACCGTTCTTTGGAAATAAGAGTAGATGTAAAGATATTATATTGAGAGAACTTAAGAAACTACCGAATGGTCTAACATTTGTAGATTTGTTCGGTGGAAGTTTCTATATATCCCATTTGTGCCATATAATATTCCCAGACTCAAAGATTATATGCAATGACTTCGACAACTATATGGACCGTCTCAAACATATTCCAGACACAAACAATATATTGAAAGAGTTAAAAGAAAAGATACCTATAGGTAAGATGGAACGTATACCATTAGATAAGAAAAATATTGTGAGAGAGGTTTTGAAAAAAGCAGAATATATAGACTGGGATAGTATATCTGCTAGACTATTATATAGTGGTTCTATAAGAGTTCATGACATTGAAACACTTATGTCAAAAGTTTTATATCTTAACTATACAAATGTTTTCAAAGAGGACATAGAAAAATATATTGAGGGTATAGAGTTTGTGAGATGTCATTGGACAGATTTGTATGAAAAATATAAAGACAAGGAAAATGTTTTCTTTATAGTGGACCCGCCGTTCTATAACACATGGGATTTTCAATACCAAGTAGACTGGACTTTGAGAGACTCTTTAGAAACTTTAGACGTTTATACATAACATCCATGCTTTTACTTTACATCCGATAAAAGTGGTTTGGAAACCGTTATGAGATGGTTAGAGGACATACATGACTATGAGTTTATATATGACAAGATAGAATATGAGAGAGGTCCTATAAACTGGAGAAAGTGTCACATAAAGAAATTTTATTAGTAAGTAAATGTGGTTTGAAATAGGACTACTTGTTTTAGGTTTTTTCCATTGTGTCATTTATTTATTTGACGTGGCAGAAAAGTACAGAGAATATGAAGATGAACCAATGCCTGCAAATGTTCAGTATATGTACTCGTAAGAGATATTTTTATCTAATATTAAATGGACGCACAGAACTTAGCGAATGCACAGCAACCTGGACAACCAAACCCAGAGAATATTCCAAATGAAGTTAGAATACAAACTGCAATGGCAAACTATGGTCAAGTGCCAACAGATGTACAAATGCAAACTGCCATGTCAAATGACGCTGCGTTAGGTTTGCCACCATGGTATGCAAATATGAGATGGAAAGAGTTTTATACAAACCCTGAAGTGGGATATAAACATCTGTCAAAAACCGCTTTTTAACTTCACTTAAAATGCCACGTAAGCTACGTAAGAATATACGTAAGAGGAAGGGAGCATTGAAACATCCAATAGTAAAACTGACACCACAACAACAGTTGCAACAACAAATTATGAATGACCCCACTATGTTGCAACAAATGTCAAGCAACCCTATGCTTTTAAACCGAGTTATTGGTGCACAGAGTGGAGGTTTAAGAGCGGCACTTTTAGCGAAAATGGCAGGCTATGGTGGAGCTGCAGACGGAACAGCTTATAACCCTCAAAGTCAAATGAATTTGAGTTCACTCAAAAATCAAATAGCAGATGTCAAAAAGTCAAACATAGACATACAGAAACAAATAAGTGAAAACGAAAAGAAACTAGAATATGACAGACACACAAAGAAACTAAATGAGTTAAACGTAGAGAAAAGAAGAAAGAAGAACAACTGAAAGAACTAAGTACAGAGGAATATGCGAAAAAAGTGTCAGAAAAAGCAGCAGAAGTAGCAAAAATGGAACAAGATGTTATAAATTTGAAAAACCATACTACTCAATATAAAGTACTGAAAGATGAAGAAATAAAACAAAAAGCCCTGAAGACATATATGGATAGCGATGAGTATAAAAAAGAAGTTGAAGCAAATGTAAAGGCAGAAAAACTTTTACAGTTGCAAAACCAAACCGTACAGTATGAAAACTTAGCACAAGAAAGTAAAAATAACGACGCAGCCATGCAAAAGGCAATGAAAAGCTCAGAATATATAAAAGCTAACAATGACTGGTTAGATGCCCAAGCCAACGCTAAAGCAGCCCAACTTATAGGGTCAATAAGGACAAAAATACAAGCGGATGAAGACAGTTCAAATGAAGCTTTAATGAATGCTGACTTTAAGAACGCCTTCGAAGCTCTTCATAGTAAGGTGAAACTAGTGAACGACTTCTCATCTGGAAAGAAACTGAAGTCTGAAGGTTTCGACAACGAGTTAAGAGAAGTAGCACAAAATATGACGAAAATAACAGATGCAGCAACGAGACAGGCAGTTCAAAGTGCCTATGACGCCGTTAGAGCAACTGTTGTGGAAAGTCAAGAAAAAGAGTTACAACAGACCAAAACAGACCTAGTAAATGCTTTCTTAAAAACGAAAAGTCAGGTAGGACATTATGCTGCAGATGGAACATATGTGCCAGCTGGTGGAACTTATATACCAGCTGGTGGAACTTATATACTAGCTAGTGGAACCTATATACCACCAAACCCTCCAAGAGAAGCACCTGCACCAGGACTACTAAAACATTTACATCGTCACATGGACACAGACACAGGCATGCACCAAAACCAACACAACAACCAACAGTTCAAAACACTGCACCACAACCAACAGTTCAAAACACTGCACCACAACCAACAGTTCAAAACACTGCACCACAACCAACAGTTCAAAACACTGCACCACAACCAACAGTTCAAAACCCTGCACAACAACAACCACAAACAGAGCAAGGACATAAAAGAAGTAGAGAACAAGGAAACCAAGAATTCTTAAAAATGCTTAAGGAAGACTATGGTTACCCAGATACTCTTGACTTTAGTGACAGATATAAAGAAGCTATTAGAAAGTTCAAGGAAGGAAATACTGACCCGAACCTATTTAGCTTTATGGCTCAGCACCAAATGGGATATAATTTCAAACCTGGAAAATACAAGCTCGCTAAGGGATATGATTTAATAGCATATCATCCAAATGACATGACTGAATTTACTCCAAGATATTTGGTGTCAGAGCTAAATGATAATTCAACTCTCTTCATGAAACGCGTAAAAAATAGAGACGGAACGAAAGAAGAAAGGTTTATGAGTCCGGATGACTTAGATAGGGAACTTGTTAAAAATGGTCTCGGAATATATGAAATGCCACCAGATGAGGTACAAGAAACTCCACAGGAAGAAGTTCAGATACAACCAGACATGGAAGAAATAGTTCAGCAACAACAGCTAGAAGAGCCTGAAGGAAACAAACAAGTCCCTCCTTTGGAAACTAACTTCACAGAACTAGATGAAGATTTGGAACAGCCGAAAAATCTTGACCCTCAACAAGAGTATGCGGAGAATATGGAATCTTTCCAAGAGTCTAAGCAAAATTCAGCTGACATAGTAGAAGAATATCGAAAAATGTTCGCCGACATACAAAAGACTCCAACATCAGATGAAAATATTCAGCATAGAATGGAAGTACTGAAAGAAAATGTACGCAAATACAACAATCCTTTTTACTTACGACCATATAACGTTCAATCTTTGGCTGAACTCGGTGAAAATAAAAGGTTAAATTTCAACAAAACATATAGAAATGAAACATTGTTTAAAGTTCATTCAGAACCTAACCAATATGGAAACAAACCTACTTTTGTTTCTGCAGACTATGGAACTACAATGAGATGGGGTCATAAAGCTAATCCGGATAGGTGGTTCATAAACTTACAACCACAATTCCAAGAAGTTGTAGACGCAATGGAAGTGAATGGTGAACCAGATATAGCTGGTATTTTCAGCGCGGCTTTAATGCCATTGAAAGATATGAAACATGCAGATATTTTGGACCAGTATGAAATGAACATGGCTGATGGAAATATAACACCTGACGTTCTAAAACATTTATCTCAAAGAACTACACAGAACCATAGAGATGGTATATTTGGTGAAGAGTTTAGAAAGAAAGTTAGGGAGATAGAAGGGAGAACCTATTGTACATGACCTTGCAAACGAAAGTTTGCAAAATGTCATAAAAACTTACTTTGCAGACAATGAACCGAGAAGGGATGAATATTTAAGAAAACTCAAATGGACAGTACCAAATGAAATGTTAGTATTGAAAAACATGTTCCTTGACAAAATAAAACCAACTACAGAAATAAATGACGCAAGACTGAAACATTGGGTAAAAGCTTTCCCATTCACAAAAGATATTATTGGTAACATGGAAAGAAAACCAGAATGGCTACAAAAACATATATTTGGAAACGAGCTTATTCCATATGGACAAGCTCTGTTTGAAGAGCTTGAACCGGAAACTCAGGAAAGAGTCATGCAAACAATACGCGAAGACTCAAATACAAACTATGACAAAATCTTTCTAGGATATAGGTTACCTGAGATGGGCGACCAGAGCCCAAAGGCAAAAAGGACATGGGAAATTTACAACATACTAGGTGAACATGAGGCAAAGATGCAACAACTTGAAGCAGAGGGCAAGTTACCAAAAGCGACACCAAAGAAGAAGAGTAGAACAAAGTGAAAGTAGTGAAGAAGTAACTTCATCTAGTGAAAGTAGTGGCAATGAAGGAAAAAGAAGAGTTAAAAACTCAGTCAGGAAGAAAGTAAAGCTTGGTCCGAGTGGGTTCTATTATGATATATAAATCCAACTATTCTATATTTTTACCCATATGAAATGTACGCCGCTCAGAATATAACGCCAACAGTTTTGGATGCCATGAACGGAAATGTTTCCGAATGGTATAACGAATGCGACAATGCCATTAGAAGGTCAGAAATAGTTCCTGGAACTTACGAATATACAACTGCTGTTTCTTATGGAAACGTAGGTGAGTTTGGAGAAGGTTCTTCAACAACAGTAGATATTGCATGCGACAGGTTTCATATTATTTCTATTGACAACTCATTCTTATACGTGGAACAAGACATTGAAATAAAACCTTCTGCCAAGTTGTCTGACAAGAAAGGTTGCAATGGAATTTTCTATTATGTCGGATACCAATATGCTCCAGAAGTTTTCATGGATATAAGATATATTCTAACTCTGACTTAGTTCAAACAGTAACATGGGCAAACTATGAATGGTTCGCTTTGAGAAACTCAGTACAACCACAAGCTAGAGAACAAACAGACCAGTATGCAAATATTGAGAAAATAAGAAGACTTGACCCTAACGTTCCAGGAGTTTATGTTAACCTTTCTGGTTCAGATGGAACTGCTGCCACTAAAGTAAAACTGAAACTTAGAGTTCCTTTGTCATCTTTCCTCATCTTCAGGTTTTTAAGATACTTGCCAAACTGGGCAGGAAAAATTTCTATTGAACTTACTCCAAGCAAAAATAACTTAGTCATTGCACCAACACAAGACCCATTCAGCATTACTGTAGCTGGAACTGGTGGAGCCAAGTTCTGTGACTTTTGCAAAGACAAAGTTGACTTAGACTTTGGTTTCTCAAACTTCAACAATGAAGTAAATTATTATTTCAATGCTGCTGGAACTGCTTGGGACCCAGTTAAGTTCACATGCGAAAAGTTTGAATGCAAGAGAATAGAAAGCAGACTTGCAGTCTATATGTTGGACCCAGATATTTCAAATGCTTTAGCTGCCAAATATATTGCAGTTCCACTTATGTTCCCTATACACCAAATATCTGTCAAAGACTTTGCAGGTGAAGTTGGAAACCAAAGTGCTGACCCAGGTGCAAGAACAGATATTGCTTTAACAACTGCAATGAAACATGCAGATACTATGTTTGTACTGTTCAGACGAACTATAAATGACTATTCTTGTTTCTACAACCCCGGTATTAAATATCATATAAACATAGATGGCAAATATTATCCAAGAGAAGAATATTCTACAGTTGAGGATATGAGGTCATACAACTTGACATTAGATGCTATGAACTTTAACAACAACTTCACAACAACCATAAACCCTGAAATGCAAAGTTCTATTATGCCATATGTGAAAGTATGGACTCATACAGGAGGTCAAAAAACTCAATATACAAATGGAGACCGTTCAAACTTTTGGCTTGGCATTCCATTTGCTGACTCAGAAGACTTTATGGGTGGTATTTCAACTGTTGGTACTGTACAAATACAATATACTGGTGACAGAGACGGTCCAGATGAACTGAGAGCAAAGAAGTTTACAAAACCAATAGCACTTTTCACGGAAGATGCTCTTTTGAAGATTCGTTCGATGAAACCTGCTGGAGCTCCTCAGATTGGCATAACGACAGCTTCCATCGAGCAGATTTTGGCAGCAGGTCAGTAAGTTGTTCTTGAACTGACTTCTCTCCGTCAAATATTGACAGTACGCCAGTTTTGACATAATATTGTATTATAAACTTACCTTTAGAAATATCTGTAAGTTTTGTTGTTATATTTTTGTCAACGTCAAGAACTTTCACCATTTCAGTTATACCAACTTTCTTTGCTTTATGGAAATATTTTGGTTCAGCAAAGACTGCTATTCTATAACATTTTCCATTGTTTGTGTAAAGAACTATTCTGTCAATGTATTTGTATTGTTTGTGAGTATAAACTTTGTTCTGCTTCAATTCAATAAGATATCCGAATACGTCCATCTTTTTATTCTAAGTAAAATGTCATTTCCGAAAAATAGAAGCGTAAGTGTTTCAAAAGGTTTAATGGTGGTGGCAGATGTGAAGTTAAATTCACCAACTCAAACAAACAGTCAAAGTGTTGTTGTCAATGTCAAAGACAGAGATGTTGAAGTGGGGAAACCATACGAAGACGAAGATGGTATAACAATTGTTCCTGTAAAAGAACCAACATATCCTGAAGTTAACAGAGACTTAAGTTCTGTTGCAGATATTCGAAACGACTACCAACAACTGAAAGACAAACTTCAAACTCAGGAGAAGATTTGTCAAGCTTTAGGTATAATGTTAAACTTGGTCGAACACAACCCTGTAAAAGTGAACTCATATGTCATTGCACCTCATGAAGTTTTGAAAGAACTATTGAAACTTTTGACAGAGGCAGACGATATAAACATCAAAGAAATAGAACCCGACATTAGTTGCTGTGGTGTTTCATATAATGTCATTGACAAGATATACGTTATGAAAGGAGGTGAAACGTTGAACTTAAAGTATAGTTTCCCAGACGTCATAAAAATATTTGACGACCACAACATTTCATTAAAATTTATTTGCTAAGTAAAAATGTCAAAACTTCTTGAAAGATGTTTGAAGAAAAATAATATAGACTTTATTTCATGTAAAGGACTTTACACACTTTTGAACGATATGAAAGACCCTGTTTTGTTTGTTCGTGTAGACAAAGGAAAGTTCTATGTCTTTACAAAATATTTGAACTTCTTAGACAGAGAACTTCAAGAAACGCCATGTGAAAGTTTAGATGAAGTTCTTCTCCACTTTCAGAAAAACTTTTAAATATATATAAATGGCAGAAGATATAATGGTTTATACTATTACGACTAAAAACCCGAGTCATATAATTCTATAACAACAAACTTACAAAGTCCTCAAGGACGATATTGTAAACTAACCTTAAACACAATGACGACTAAAGCCTGTTTTGCTCTTTTGACACCAGAAGACTTTATTGTTGTGAATGGTAAAAAATACTCCTTTGAAGATACTTACTCAGATATACCACCAACAGGTTTTGTTGACTTATTTAATACTTTAAGGACGGGTGTAACATGTGCTGCAACTAGAGCAGGTTTCATTATGTTTGGATGTCCGACTGAGTTTACTATAAACAATATGAGCT